GTGTGTGTGTATATGTGTGTGTGTGTGTGTGTGTGTGTGAGTGAGTGAGTGTGTGTGTGTGTGTGTGTGTGTGTGTGTGTGTGTATATATATATATATATATATATAATTTAACTATTATTATATTAACATTATTATTAAATAATTATAAATAAAATTATATTATAGTATTTAATATTAGTATTATATGAATAATATATTTTATATATAAAATTAACATCTCAGAACTGTATTTCTTTTCCCATATTTTCACAGTGACTACTTATTCAAGCTTCTTCTGATTGGAGATTCTGGAGTCGGAAAATCTTGCATTCTATTGCGTTTTGCAGTAAGTGTTTGTTTTTTAACAGCATCTTTGGATATGAATGATCTCTGACCGGGTGTTAGAAATACGATTGTTTTTTTCTTTTCCAGGACGACACCTACACAGAGAGTTTCATTAGCACGATCGGAGTGGATTTCAAGATCCGAACTATTGAGTTGGATGGAAAAACTATTAAACTGCAGATAGTGAGTTTGTAGACTTTAGAATTCATCTTAAGTATGCCTTTTAATGTCAATCTACAGTTAAATGAGACGTGTAAATGTTTCCAGTGGGACACCGCTGGACAGGAGCGATTCCGCACGATTACATCTAGCTACTACAGAGGAGCTCATGGGATCATTGTTGTGTATGATGTCACGGATCAGGTTTGTGAGACTCCCTTCTAAAAAATTCACATCAATACTTGAAACATTTATGGTTGCTGCTTAGTAAAATAAAGGTTTACCTCTCAAATGTTATCACAACTGCACGCATTCTTAAAAGTTTGATGCTGGTGTTTTTTCAGGAGTCCTACAACAATGTGAAACAGTGGCTGAAAGAAATCGATCGCTATGCAAGTGAGAATGTCAACAAACTACTTGTAGGAAATAAGTGTGACCTCACTACAAAAAAAGTTGTGGACTACACTACAGCTAAGGTTGGTTGGTAGGGAAATAATGAACTTCCTTTTAGACTAGTTAAAGAAATAGTTCACTCAAAGAGAAAATTAGCTGAAAATTTACTCACCCCTCAGGCCATCCAAGATGTAGATAAGTTTGTTTCTTCATTTGAACAGATTTGGAGAGGTTTAGCATTATATCACTTGCTCAACAATGAATCCTCTGCAGTGAATGGGTGCCGTCAGAATGAGAGTCCAAACAGCTGATCAAACATCACAATAATCCACAAGTAATCCACACCACTCCAGTTCATCAATTAATGTCTTCTGAACTGTAAACCTTTTTGTTTATAAGAAAGATATTCATCAAGATGTTTTAACTTATAAACCGTTGCTTCTGGCCAAAATACCACTTAATAACCCTTAATAATGCTTCCCCCAGTGAAAAAGTCATCTTGTCTGGATAACTTGTGGATTATTGTGATGTTTTATTTTTAAATTCTCATTCTGACGGCACCCATTCACTGCAGAGGATCTATTAGTGAGGTAAGCAATGTCATTTCAACACCAAACACTTTATAGTTATACATTAACAGAAAACACTATTCTCTACAGAAAGACCATTCTTCTTTCTCCAACACTTTTTTCAGGAGTTTGCTGACTCTCTTAGCATCCCTTTCCTTGAGACGAGTGCTAAAAATGCCACGAACGTGGAGCAGGCCTTCATGACCATGGCAGAGGAGATAAAGAAGCGCATGAGGCCAGGGGCTTCAGGGGGTTCAGAGAAACCTGATCTTAAAATCGAAAGCACCCCGGTGCAACAGTCAGGCAGCGGGTGCTGTTAGATCGCTGTCATATTTTCTCAGGGAGAGTGATGAGCAGGACTGGACACTGAGGCGTATTGTGTTGAGGTGGCCAATGTGGGTATTAACGACAGACTATATCCTACATGGTGCTCAATAAAGTCTGAAATCATTAGTTGTTTAACAAAAACATTCATGGCTCTTCCCACATTTTTGTTGTCTTTGAAAATAAGACTAAAGCACAGGCACACACTGATGCAGGTATTTGCCTGAAAAATGAAGGTGAAAATGTCCAGATCACTGTGTTAATAGCTGTTAATGTTCACAATTGACCCAATCATATGAAAATTCATAAACAATGAACTGGGATTTGCAACTCGTTAAAGTGGTGCCTTTTCTTGTTCATGCTTTTAAGAAGATCAAGTGGTTGAGCGGTCATTGCAGGCATTGTTCATCCGCATGTTAAAGCAGGGACTCCAACATTCTCATTTGGAGTTTTACTGTGGTTCTGTGAGAATAGTTTACCTAGAAATTAAACTCATAATTGATGTCACTTTGTGGTTGCAAAATATTTTGAAGATGTTTTTATCTCAAATGAGTGGTATCCTAAAAACCATCACTAGATCCCATTGTATAGACAAAAAAACATTTTTCAAAATATCAGTGAACAGTGCATTTCAGTGGCTGTAATTATTACTGAATCGGTGGGACTGCTAGATAGCTTTTTATGATTTATTAAGTATAATAATAATAATTAAGAAAGTAATAACCACCAATTATTTTTTATAGAAAGAGCGTATACTGCGATCAGTGTGGCAAAACATTTATGTTTGCAGCACACCTGAAGAGACACCTGAGAATCCATACAAATGATTAGCCATACTTGTGCTCCATTTGTGGACTGAGTTATTCACATATGGACCATTTTAAAGAGCACCAGAAATGACATGCCAATGTGCGAGCACATGTGTGCTCTGAGTGTGGGAGTTCCTTTAATTTGGCCAGCCACTTGAAGACCACCAAAAACTTCACACTGGAGAGAAACCTTACAATTGTACACACTGCGGAAAGAGTTTCTCACAGTCAGGATTTATGAAGAAACATGAGAGAATTCATTCAGGAGTGAAGCCATACATTTTTGCCCTTCATGTGGGAGAGCCTTCTGTCAGTCAAGTGCACTGCTGAATCATATAAAAAAGCATTGCCCAAAGTTGTCACAGTGAGAAAAATAAGTAATCAAAAGAGCTGTTTCATCTAAGTGGATCATACAATACTTGTAGTGATGAAGTTTGTGCTTTTAGAAGTGGTCAAACAAAGTATTTGTTCAAACTTGTGAAATGCTATAATTTTCTAGCGTTTTTTGGAGTAGCAGCAGTATGATTTAAAATTAGCAACATTGTGTATCTATATATCACTGTTAAATAAAATACTACCTTGATCTGTTCATGTTTTTTTATTGGTATTTTAACAAGACCATACATGGTGCATTCAGTAAAAAATAATAAATTACAGATTGTCTCAATATAAACCCATTCAAAACCATCCCACCCAAAAAAAAAACATTTGAATATGAAACCAAGAAAGAAAGAAAAAAGGTAAATAAATAAGTAGAAAAGGATCTAAACAATAGAATAAACAAATAAAGATAAATAAATACATAAAAAATAAATGAACATTCCTCTCTCAAGAGTCAATCTTCCCTCTTTCCAGTATATGTTACCGGTAATAGCAAGACACAGTATATGGCAACGACAATTTCTGATTGGCTGGTAGGTCTGTATAACTCGAGACAGCTATGAACTTGGCAGAGATTCCCTCTATATGCCTATGCCTTGTCCATTAATTGTATATAGGGGGACAAGTTATCCCTTACTTTTCAGCATGAGAAATACGAGGTGTGGCGTGTGAGTGTGTGAGCTGTTTGAAATGCACGTGTCTCACAGTGAATGCGTGAGACTTGAGAGCCCTGTGGGCCATATAGGGCCATATCGCCCTATGGGCGAGGACTATCCGGCCAAAGTGGTGGCACAACATTCTAAATATCGACGGGTGATGATGGAACTGTACAATTTGGGACTTCCTTGCAAGGCTGTCCATCAGGACCAAAAATGGGATTAGGAGTTTTATGTATTTTAAAAATAAAAAACGTATCAAAAAAATAATTTTGACCCCAAACAAGCCAACTCATACAGTGCTTAATGTACATACTGTACACATACAGGATTGCAGAACTTGCCCTGAGCATGTATGTCAAGCTGTGTGTGTGTCAGATTGTACACATTTCAGCTTATGATTATTATTATTATTTTTTTTACATTTTGTTGGCTTGATGACGGGGGTAAAAGGCTCCCACTTAAAGCACTGTGGCTTCCCCACTCAAATGCAGATGCACAAAAACAAAAATAGGAACAGTTTGGCTTGGGACAGAATGCTATCATCCATTGTGATGGTGAAAATGGCTGGCCTTGAGTCACAGTGCTTTAAATGGGAGCCCCCTACCCCTGTCATCAAGACATCAAAATGTGCAACAAACACAACACATAACACCATTCATAAATTGAAATGTGTACTCTTTCTCTCACGCACACACACACACTTTTTGACATACATGATCAGGGCAGGTTCTGCAATCCTGTATGTGTACAGTCATGGCCAAAAGTTTTGGCAGTGACATAAATTTTATGTTTTGCAAAGTTTGCTGCTTAAGCTGTTGTGGTGTTCATTCACATTGTTTCTAGATTATTGTGTAGAGTGATCAGATCCATTTTAAATAATTGCTAAAAGCTTCATTGGCCAAAAAATTACCTTTTCACAAACAAACGTTAAAGAAGTGGCTCGAAGATCATTACATTGAAATTTTGGATCCGTGGCCAGGCAACTCCCCAGATCTCAATCCCATAGAGAACCTGTGGTCAGTCCTCAAAAGGCGAGTGGACAAGCAGAAGCCCACAAATTGTGATCAACTCCAAGAACTAATAAGGCAAGAATGGATCGCCATCAGTCAGGATTTAGCCAGAAGCTAATAGATTTTGTTGGCCTGATGACGGAGGTAAAAGGCTCCCACTAAAAGCACTGTGGCTTCCCCACTCAAATGCAGATGCACAAAAACAAAAATAGGAACAGTTTGGCTTGGGACAGAATGCTATCATCCATTGTGATGGTGAAAATGGCTGGCCTTGAGTCACAGTGCTTTAAATGGGAGCCCCCTACCCCTGTCATCAAGACATCAAAATGTGCAACAAACACAACACATAACACCATTCATAAATTGAAATGTGTACTCTTTCTCTCACGCACACACACACACTTTTTGACATACATGATCAGGGCAGGTTCTGCAATCCTGTATGTGTACAGTCATGGCCAAAAGTTTTGGCAGTGACATAAATTTTATGTTTTGCAAAGTTTGCTGCTTAAGCTGTTGTGGTGTTCATTCACATTGTTTCTAGATTATTGTGTAGAGTGATCAGATCCATTTTAAATAATTGCTAAAAGCTTCATTGGCCAAAAAATTACCTTTTCACAAACAAACGTTAAAGAAGTGGCTCGAAGATCATTACATTGAAATTTTGGATCCGTGGCCAGGCAACTCCCCAGATCTCAATCCCATAGAGAACCTGTGGTCAGTCCTCAAAAGGCGAGTGGACAAGCAGAAGCCCACAAATTGTGATCAACTCCAAGAACTAATAAGGCAAGAATGGATCGCCATCAGTCAGGATTTAGCCAGAAGCTAATAGCAGCATGCCAGAGCAAATTGCAGAGGTTATTAAGAACAACGATCAGGGCGGCATTATGCTAATATTTCCACATAGTGAGGTAGATATGTGGGGGCGTGTTAGAACGAGCCGTTTTAGGGGGGCGTGGCAGAGTCTTAACTTTGATAAAGAATATCTCTTTGGTTTTGAGACTTTAGTCTTTGCAACTTCAGGGATCTTATCTATGCACAATCAGCTTGTAACACTCCAAAGAGAAAGGAAAACTTGAAATCGCATCATATGACCCCTTTAAGAGAATTGTGTGGGCCGATATAACAGATATAATCTCACTCCAAACTTTCAGTAGCCCCTCACAGCAGAACACAAGATCCAGTGGGCGTGGTTGGATCCACATCTAGGGGGTGGAGATGGGTAGGTTTAGGGGTGGAGATGTGTGGATTTAGGGATCAGGGATGGAGACGGGTAGGTTTAGGTATATGCACAGTGGGAGGAGTTGGATCTGGATCCAACCACGCCCCCTGGATCTTGTGTTCTGTGAGGACCATCTCCAAACTTTTGAGAAAAGTTGAGAGCCCTGTATATGGCGATCGGGCTACCTAGAAACATCAGCTTGCCTCTTTTAGCGGGTTTTTTTTTGTTGTTGTTTTTTTAACAGTCTCTACTCGAGCCTCGCGGATGACCAGCTCTTTAGCGGTGCAGTGCGCGGCTTTTCTCTGGTCGCGGGTTTACCGATGAGAGCCCTATGAGCCCGGTCAATCTCCGGTGGAGAAGACAAAACATCCTTTTCCAGGACGTCAAATAGGAGCTGTGAAAATAACGCAGAAGGACGTTGGACGTTGGACTCAGGCAGCCTAATTATGCCAACATTGTTACGGCGGCTGCGCCATTCGAGAAATGTGCCACATTTTTCTGAATTCATCGGTTTAACCCTAATTTAATTTTACTCAACATATAAGTCATACATGAATGAATGACCATATCCACATGTTTTATGTGTAAAGGTTTTTGGTTTTTATTTTATTTGGTTTGAATTTTTTTATATTTATCAAAAGCAAATGCATTGCTACTGTAAAACATTCAAGTTTATTTAAGCGTTTTTGAGGATAAATTTACTAAATTGCCTAGTGTCAACTGCAACAACTATACTTTGGGCTGTGGCGCGCCCTCTTTTGGCGAGTTGATAGTGCGGCGCTTCTGCGTTTATGAAGCGTCTTCCCGGTTGTTGCTGATTTCACTGGTGGGCGCTGTTTCGAGATCATTATCCAGCTGCACTGCTGCTGCCGTCATACTCTCAGCTTTTATGTAACTTAACTTAGTCGCTCCCAAATACTACAGCTTTTTCTGCCTGTTTTCATCAAGAAAGAAGCTTCTGAAACGAAGTACAGTGTCTCGGTATGTTGCTGTGTGTTGTTTGGTGTCCTGCCTGTTACTGGAGTAGCTAATTTAGCTAACGTTAGCCGGTTAGAATAGGGACGTCAGCTGTCTTTTTTTCTTTTAATTCCCTACTCTTTTTTTGTTGTTGTTGATAGTATTCCCGTATTTTAACCAAGTATAGTAAACAAGGTGAGATGTACGGTAGAAATAGCGAAAAGAAACTAAAACATACAGTGGTTCAGGAACTTAAAAGTTGCTGCGTTAGCCTTCAGTGGTTTTTTTTAATACTTGTTTATGCTTATGTTTATGCTTTATGCTAATTTTGCTATGAAAACTACTATCAAATTGAATGACTTTTTCTTCCTTTTATGCTTAGTTTGTACGGAATATAGCAATAAAAATGCCTTGTGCTTCCTACTCAGAAGTTGTGTTTGTTTCTGGATTAGATGGAGGGAGATGATGACGACTTCCCCCCTGAGCCATCAGAGCACTCTCATTCCCAGCGAGGAAGTGTGGCTTCTTCAGTCACCAGAGGTTAGTTCTCTGTTCCTTAACGTTTCCTCTCTTGATCTGATGTCACCAGACTGGAGGTCCTGATCTGATCATGCTTGACCTGACATGATCATTTGTCCCTCTTGTGTTTCTCCAGCTCAGGATTTGTTGGTGTACTTGGCGAGCAACAGTGCAGTTCACTTGACTTTGGAGGGTCTCAGCTGTATGAGTGCGCAGGAGCTCGGCCGCAATGTCCGAGAAGCCCTCAACATTCCCAATTCTGCTGTAGATGTGTTCGCGTTCTGGTTCTGCTCTCCTTTGCTTGGTAATGATTGTTATTTTGTGCTCTGGTCAGATGTCAGACTGATACAGAATCTATGACCTTTTCGTATTTAGGTTATGAAGAAGGGCAAGCACAATGATGGCATTTACAGTGTCTTTGGCTGATTTGCAAGTGAAGTGTTGGGAGGGGACATCAGGAAGTGCTCAGGGCGTTAAAGTCACCCGCTGGCATTTGTGGATTATTTGATGTCTTTTAAAACCCTACATGACTTTTAGAATTTTGAATTGGTACAGATTTGAAAACACTAGGCATTATACACTTGCCAACTTTGTAATGGATACAGAGAAAAACATGACAAAAGATAGCAATGATTTTCTGGATTTTTTTTTCTCATTTTGTCTCTCATAGTTGAGGTATACCTATGATGAAAATTACAGGCCTCTCTCATCTTTTTAAGTGGGAGAACTTGCACAATTGGTGGCTGACTAAATACTTTTTTTCCCCACTGTATCTGTCAACTCTGCCCAAAATCTTCAGACTGGCACTGACTTTCGGCT